TTGAGTGGCTCATGGATCATTGCGTCGCTGCCTCTAGGGGGCAGCGTCGGCGAAGTGGCTCATGGATCAAGGCGCCTGCGCCCCATGCTCGAGGGGCAGCGTTTTGCTTGTTGAACAAAACTTGAACCGGGTCGAAAATCGCACGCTCGAGCGGCCCGACGAGCAGTGCCTCGCGCACTTGTCGAGGCTGCCGGCGCCGGTCCGCGTCGGCGCCGACGCTTAACGCTCCTCGACCGCGCGGCGCCGGATCGCCCGCCGCGCGGCACTGCGATGCAGCTGTCGCCGCGGAAGCGGCGGCCCAAGGGCGGCAGCCGCGCGGACCACGCGCTATGCGTTATCGGGTGCCTGCTCTTCGTCGTCGTCGTGCCGGCGTGCTACGTCCTGCCGGGCGTCATTTTGCCGCCCGACGAGGTGCCGCACCTGTCGCGCCAGGCGGACCCGCGGGACGCGCCGGTGAAGGCGCGCTTGCCAAAGCCTGCCGCGCGCCGGGGCGCGCTCCGCGGCGCGCCGCCCGCGGAGCGGCACGTCCTCTCGGACGGCCGCAACGGCACGGCGCCGCGGCCGCGCGACGTCGTCGGCGCGGCGCCGCGGCGCGACATCTTCGCCCGGCCCTGGGCGCCGCTCGGCGACGTCCACGACGTGCTCAACGTCCAGTCCGGCGCGTGGATCATGCACAAGCGGTCCTTCCCGAAGATGCTGCTCACGGAGAGCGAGGAGAGCTTCAACAAGCGCTTCGTCGGCGCGATCATCGACCAGCTCGCCAAGGCGTGGCCGCCGCGCGTGATTCGCGGCTTCGCGCAGTCCTTCTTCGAGGTCGTCTTCTCCGCGACGCCGGCCCCCGGCGCGGGCGCGTCGCCGGAGCGCGACCCGCCCAAGGTCGCCTTCCTCTTCCTCGTCGGCGGCGACGTCGCGACGGAGCCGCTGTGGCGGAGCTTCTTCGCGACCGACTTCGCGGCGAGGCGCGCGTCGGTCTACGTGCACCCGCCCCGGGGCTACCTCTTCCCCGAGGGCTCCTTCTTCGAGGACAAGGCCGTGCCCCAGGACGACCGCTACGAGGTGACGTGGGCGTCCCTGGCCATGGTCCACGCGGAGCTCGTTCTGATCGCGCACGCGCTGAAGGACCCGCGCAACGAGCGCTTCGTGCTGCTGTCGGAGACGGACGTGCCGCTCTGGCCCTTCCCCTGCATGTACGGGACCCTCTTTTCGTCGTCGCTGTCCTACATGGAGACGAAGGAGACGCAGGAGCGCTTCGCGATGTACGAGTTCCGCAACGGCACGGGCCCCCTGCTGGAACACTGGCGCAAGGGGTCCCAGTGGTTCGCTCTAACGCGGGACCACGCCGCGGCCGTCGCCCACGACTCCGAGATCCGGCGCTGGTACAAGGCCTTCGCGCGCACGCAGCTCCAACGGCGGAAGGTCGACGGCAAGGGCCTCTGGGGCAAGGTCACGCACGTCATGAACAAGCCGTCGTTCACCGACGAGCACTACGTCCAGACGACGCTAGCCAAAGCCGGCGTGGAGGACCAGGTGCTGCCCGTGTCGCTGACCTTCGCGACGTTCGGGCGGAAGCACGAGTACACCGTGTGGGGCAACGGCGGCGAGCGGCCCTTTCGTTTGGACGACGCGCAGTGGCACGCGGTCCAGTTCGGGGCCTTATCCCTCGACGCCATGGACAAGATGCACGAGCTCTGCGCCTACGATGTGGGCCGCGTGGGCCCCGGCGACGACGACGCGCAGGCGCCCGCGGCGCGGCCCGCGCGGACGAAAGCCGGGCCCTACGACCCGGCCAAGCTCCAGTGCTCCGTCATCGGCGCGGGGCCCGTCTCCGGGAAATACGCGCCCTGCTTCCTCTTCGGGCGCAAGATCCACGCCGAGGCCGTCTTCTACTACGCGGAACTTTCCGCGGAGTTCTTCCTCGAGCGGGAGCGGCCCGGATTGCGCGCGCCCTTCTCGCGCGCGCGCGTCGCCCAGCGGCGCGACGCGGCCCAGGAGACGGCCCACTCGCTCACGGGCAAAGGGATCGCGCCGGCCGGCGACTACGCGACGGCGCACATGCAGGCCGTCCTCGCCGCGCTTCCGGCGGAGACGCGGGACGCGCTCTACGCCGCGCGCGACAAGGCCGCGGGCCACTAGCGCCGGCGCCCCGCCACCGGCGGGGTCTTCTAATTCGGAGATTAATACTGTGGCCGGATCTCGACGCCCGGCGCGAGGGCGGACGCGCACGCGGCGTCGAGGAGCGTGGCGGCGACGGCCGTCGTCGTCGCCGGGCCGTGGTGGCGCATGTCGCCGGGCACGAGCGGGTCGGACGACGCCAGCGCCGTCGGGCTCCAGGCGTCGACGACGTGGACGCCCAGGGCCCGCGCGGCGGCGGAGGCCGCGTCGTTGAGCGCTTCGACGCGCGGCCTGTGTGGAAATCAAATCTTAAACCCGACTTCAATGTGCGCGTATGAGACAGTTTCGACGCAAGCTCTTCGGCTGTGCTTCGAGAACTCGACGAGAGCAATCGATTCGTCCAAAAATCAGCCGAATCGACGTCGATTTGATCGAGATAGAGAGGTTTGAAGTTTTTGCTGGACAGGGCGTTCCACTGGTTGATTTCCACACAGCGCGCGGCTCCGTCATCGTCCGCTTGCCCTGGGCGACGTGGTGGGGCACGTCGTCCCGCGTCGAGTACTTGCGGTCGCAGGCCGCGACCCCGAAGAGCTGGTGCGGGAAGACGGCCGTCGTCGCGACCACGAAGACCTTGGCGAAGCGCCGCTTCGCGTCGGCGAGGAGCTCCGCGACGGCGTTTTGGTAAACTTCTACGTCGCCGTAGGCGCACTGCCATAAACCCGCAAAATTCAGCAGGGCCGTCGCGCCCGGGCCCGCGGCGTCGGCGCCGGCGGCGAGCTGGCTCCGGAAGGCGCTGCCGTTCGCGGGCAGCGTCCCGCGGAAGGGGACGTAGCGGACGTCGCCGGAGAACCCGAGCTCGCACTCGAGGAACGACGCCGCGTGGCGCGTCACGGAGTCGCCGAAGAAGACGACGCGCCGCCGCCGCAGGCACTGCCGCGCGCCGCGCACCGTGAAGCGCCGCAGCGCGCACGCGTCGGGCGCCCACGCGACGGCCGCGGGCGGCTCGTAGGCCGCGGCGAACGCGGCCGCGGACCGCCGCCCGGCGGCCTCGAAGGCGTCGGCGACGACGGCCGCCTCGAAGGGCCCGCCGTCGCGCGACGCGCACGTCCGGTTCCGCGGCGCGTCGCTGAAGAGCGTCGCGGCGGCGGCGGGCGCGGCCGTCCAGCGGCCGCGCGCGCGCCGGAGCGCCGCCGCCGCCGGGGGCTCCGCCGCGGCGCCGGAGGCCCGGCGCCGCCGCGCCGCCGCGCCGCAGTGGCCGAGGCCGCCGCGCGGCGCGAAGGGCGCCGGCGCGCCGCGGTCGTGCGCCGCCGCGAGCGCGGAGAGCGTCCCGCGGCCCGCCGCGGCCGGGCCCGGCGCGGGCGCGCGGACCTCGAGGACCGGCGCGCCGAGGAAGGGCACGACGGCCGTCTTCGCCGCCGTCGGGCCCCGCGTCGCCGCCTCGAGCGACGCGTACTCGGCGAAGAGCGCGACGCGGAGCTCCGCGGCGGCCGGGTGGCCGGCGGCGACGACCGCGACGCACAGCGCCGCGCCGCAGCCGTCGACGGCCGCGACGCTCTCGGGCGAGTAGAGCGCGAGGAATTTGCCGGCGCCGTCGAGCGCCGTGACCGTCGCGCGGAACACGGGCGCCGCGTGCGAGCTCTCGGCGACGCCGACGACGACGACCGTCGCGTCGGCGGAGACGGCGTAGCCGCTCGCGGCGCCGGCGAGGCATTGCGTTGCTGCGTTGTCGCGTCGTGGCGTGTGCAACGACAGCATTGCGATGGTTGTTACGGCGGCGGCGAGCGCGAGGATGCCTCGCGCCGCGGCCATCGCGTGTATTTTTTGCCAGAGGTTTGGGTAAACATGTTTATTTGAAGTGCTGGACGATGGAGCCATCCTAGATAGCCATCCTGAGCAGCCCATCATGGCCGCGCTGCGCGTCGTCGTCGAGCTCGGCGACCAGCGGTTCGCCGTCAGCGTGCCCGCGCGGCACCACGACCGCAGCGTCGGCAGAGTGCTCCTGAGACCGCTGGAGAAGCAGGGCTTCCTCGTCGAAGAGCTGCTCCTCGGCGGCCGGCCCCTGGATCCGGCGTCGCTCGTGTCGCGGGTGCCGTGGCCGCCGTCGCCGGTCGTCCGCGCGCTTCCGCCGCTGCCGCTACTCGAGCTGGCGGCGGTGCCCGACGACTTCCAGGTCGTGAAGTGGCGCGGCTTCGGCGAAGCGGCGTCGGCAAGCCTGAAAGGCCCGTCCGGCCGCCCGGCGGCGGCGTGGGTCGCGAGCGCGAGCGCCGCCGAGCGCGAGGCGACGACGCCCGTGCTGCCCATCGCCGGCGGCTGCACCGTCGCCGCGCAGCCCGCGGAGAGCGGCGCCCACGAGCTCGTCCTCTACGACGACCTCGGGCTACGAAAACGCGCGATGCCCCTCTCCGTTAAAGCCCCGCCGCCGCTGGCGCGGCCCTGGGCGACGCTGCCTCGCGCGCGCAAGGACGAGGTGCGGCGCTGGCTCCGACGGTGCGGCCGCTGCCGAGCGTTCGTCGACGGCTCGGACATGCTCCAGCTGCCCCTGCCGCCGGAGGACGACGGCGCCGCGGACGCGCCCCTCGCGTGGACCCGGCCGGCGCCGGGCCGCGTCGCCGTCCTCCGCGACTTCATTCCCGCCGCGCTCGCGGCGCGGGCGATCCGCGCCGCCGAGGCCCACCTCGTCGAGGCGGCGGCGCACACCGTGGGCGTCGGCGAGGCGCGGCCGGCGTACTCGTCGCGCGCGTACCGCACGAACCGTTCCTGCTTCCTCGACGCGCACGACGAAGGCGTCGTGAGGGCGATCCGCGCCGCGGTGCGGGCCGCGTTTCCAGAGGTCGAGGGCCGCGAGCTCGAGCTCCAGGTCGTGCACTACAAGCCGGGCGAGGTCTTCCGCCTGCACTCGGACGTGGGCGTCCGGCGCAACGACGGGACCTTCGGACGGTCCTGGTCCATGTTCGTGTACCTGCGGGGGCCGGCGGGCGGCGGAGGCGGCACGGTCTTCCCGCGGCTCGCGAGCTCGGACGTCTACGACGGCGCCACGGGCGCCGTCCACCTCGACTGCTGCGAATCGGTGGACGGCGGCGGCGTGTCGCTCAAGCCCGAGGACGGCTCCGCGCTGGTCTGGCGCAACGTCGACGACCACGACCGCCGCGACCGCCGCGCGTTCCACGCCGGCGCCGCCGTCGCGGAGGGCCAGGAGAAGTGGGGGCTGAACGTGTGGCTGCCGCTGTCTCCGGCAGCGTCCTGTGTGGGACGAGTTTCGAGAGATGTGGGGCGGGAAAACGATGAGACATCGTCACCGTCAAGCTTGGCAGGTCTCCGGCGATCCAGGTCGCGACGCTCTCGGTGGCGCCGCTCTGCCCGGGCCGGACGGACCACGTCCGCGTCGCCCGGGTCCTGCGGGAGGCGGCCGTCGCCGACGTCGCCGCGGCCGACGAGCCGCCCGTCGCGCCGCGGGGGCTTCGGGAGGCGGCCGTCGCCGACGTCGCCGCGGCCGACGAGCCGCCCGTCGCGCCGCGGGAGCGCGGCCGCGGGCCGGCGCCGGCGCCGCTCGCGGCCTTTCGCGCGCTCGCGGCGGCGCTGCCCGGCGACCTCGCGCTCGCCTGGGGCGGCCGCGACGTCGTCCAGTTCTGCCTGCGGACGGTCGAGGACGTCGTCGGCGGCGCGGCGGACCGCTGGCTCGAGGCGCGCGGGTCCCTGCCGGGCTGGCGCCGCGACGCGGTCGCGGCCGCGCTCCGCGGCGCCGCGGCGGACCTCGGCCTGGCGATCCGCGTCGACGTGGCCTGGAGGACGCTGTAAGGCCCGGGGGTGTGTCGCCCAGGGGTGCGGCCGCGGAGGCGCGCGCCCGGACGTGTATTAGCGGCGCGGCATCGATGGCCTCATCGACGGCATCATCATCTCGAGAGCGAGCGACTTGGCTCTCGAGTGGCTGCGTATTGAGTCCATCAGCCGCGCGCGCCGGCCCTGCACACCCCGCGTCGCTCACCGCCGCGGTCACCGCCGCCTCCCCCGTCCGCCGCGCCGCACGCCGCGCCGCGCCCGCGCCGCCGCCGCGTCGAGACCATGGGCGAGGAGAAGCCGGGCCTGCTCATGAACACGGCCGTGGGGACGGTCTGCGGCGCCGTCTACGGCTCCGTCGTGTCCGCCTGGGTCGCCCCGAAGATCGGGAAGCTCGACGGCGTCGAGCTGAGCCAGGACGCGCTGCCGAGCTTCCGCACGATGACGCGGCACGTCGGCGGCCACGCGCTCGTCTTCGGAGGCGTCGCGGCGGCGTTCTCCGTCGGCGAGGCCGTCGGCGGCGCCATGCGCGGCGAGGACGACGTCGTCGCGGCCTTCACGGGCGGCGCGACGGCCGGCGCCGTGCTCGGCGTCGCGCGGACGAAGACCATCGGCCACGGCCTCGCGTTCACGCTCGGCTTCGGCGCGCTGTCGGCCTTCGTCCACCTCGCCCACGGGTCCTTCATCCAAGACAAGGAGAAGCAGCACGCGCGGCACTCCGTGACGCGGGTCTAGGGCGGGGGAGCCGGGGGAGCCGGGGCCCCCACTTTTAAGCCATCGCGCGAGGTCGCGGATCCAGACTCGGGTCCGAGTCGACTTCCCCGGGCCGGCTGGCACGCCCTCCCGGGATAGATAGCTTAAGTATGAGGGCGCGCGCGGCGACTTTGAGGGCGGGCCGCGCCGCGGCGCGTATCAACTATCGTTCTTCCTGCTCAGCCATGCAATCGAGAGCAGCCTTGGCCTCCTCGTACCCCCTGGCGGCCGCGCTCTTCAACCAGCGTTTGGCTTCTTCCAGGTCGATATCCATGCCACGTCCTAGCCAGCAATAAATGCCCATCATGTACTCGGCCGGCGCAGAACCTTGCTCTGCGGCAAGCTTGTAGTAGCGTCCAGCCTCCGTAAAATTCCCAGATATTTCAAGTTTGACGGCGAAGTTGTGTTGCGCATGAGGAAATCCACCATCAGCCGCAGTACGAAACAGCTGCATGGCCTTGCTCTTGTCAGATTTGACACCGTCCCCCTTTTCATACATCCAAGCGAGCTTGTCCATCGCCTTCATATTCCCGAGCTCCTCACCGCGCTTGTAAATCTTGAACGCCTTCTTCGCCGATCTCTTTAGGCCGAGAGTACCTCGATAATAGGCCTCTCCCAAAGTGATGATTGCTTCCGGAACATCATTCTCCACGTGGCGACGAAGGTGAGCCAACGTCTCCGCATGAGATTTTATGCGCGGGGTGCGACAGAAAGGACACGACGACCCTATTTTTTCTGTGCACGACATGCAGATTATCCGGGCGCAACAGGTGAGAAAATTGGAGTTCGCATTCACGCCCCACTCCTCGAGACAGATCGGGCAACACGACCCGGACCGCGCACCGTAGTATGCCACTGGCGCCGGCGCCGGGTTCGCCTCGCGCCGCGCGCGGGCGGCCTCGTGTTCCGCGGCGATGCGCGCGCGGACCTCGTCGGCGTGCGACCGCGGCGCGGGGCCGTAGACGACCTCCTCTGGCGGCGACGGCGGCGGCGTCGGCGCCTCGGCCCGCGCCGCCTCCGCCGCGCGCTCGTCTCGGATCTTCTTGCACGCCTTCCGGTGTCCGCGGTCGCGCCAATCGATTCTTTGGCACTCGGTCGTACAGTACCTGCGTCGCGCGTCACGGCCACGCGCCGCCCCCGACCCGTTGCGCCGGCGCGCACTGTGTCGTCCCGCAGGGACAGTTCAATTTCGCCTTCTCTCCGCAAATGGTGCAGGTCAGGCGGAGCTTCAGTGCTTTCGCCCGCGCCTTGACCTTTTCGAACTCGCGAACTTTCTTCTGCCAGTCCTTCTCTTGCCCGTCGGCCATCGTTAACTTGACGTGTCTAGTCGTTGTTTGGCGCACCCCCTATTGTCCGAGGGTCAATTTTTGCCGCGCCGATTATCTGCCGAGTGGCGAGACTTTGGCGAGCACGAGCGCCTATTAAGGGGGGCGCCGTCAAAATACCATGCCAGGGGACACGCGCAATCAGGCGGCGGAGGCCATGATGGAGGCGGTCACGCGGGACCTGCTCCCCGCCTTGCGATCAGGGGAACTGAGCAGGGAAGACTTTGAGCAGATCGTCGTCAACCGATTGACTTTTCCTGAGCGCATGCGGGAGCAGCGCCAGCGGGATAGCTCGGCGGCCGAGGTCGACGTCCCGACGGAGGAGATCGTCGCGATCCTCGGCAAGGGCACGACTCACGACTTCGGCGCGGACGTCGAATTCGCGGCGACGCTCGACGCGCTCAACGCGGTGCTCTCGGGCCCGCCGAGCTCGCCGGAGCGGCGCGGCCGGTGGCCGCGAGGCATCGTCCTCGACGCGGACCCCGTGGCGACGTGCAAGATCATCGACAACGCCATTTGCATCGCCTTCGCGTCCGAGGACGCCGCGCGCGTCTGGGTCTGGAAGATGAACTACGAGGTCTTCGCCGGCGAGGGGGCCCAGTTCCCCTACATCAAGAACATGGAAAGTTTCGACACGTTCCGCCTGCCGGACAACCTCAACCACCTCATGCGCTACGTCGTCGGGCGGCGCTTCGCGAACGTCGACGGCGAGCTCGTCCTTGCGCTCGGCGCGGACGACGACGTCGGCCGCTACGAGGCCGGCTTCGGACGCCCGGAGGACGGCCGCGAGCCCCTGTCGACCTGGCTCGCGCGCTGCGTCAAGCGCCTCAAGGGCGACCTCGACTACGTCACGGCGAACTACGACGACCTCCCGCCCGGCGCGCCGCGCGACGACGTCGTCGATACGTCGATGGAGTAAAGAAGGCGCCAGTAAACTTACACCGACGGCGCCCGGCGCCGCTTCGGCTTCTTCTTGCGGTTCGCGCGCGTCGCCTTCACCTTGGAGACCATGTCGGCGACGTCGTCGCCGACGAGGCGGCCGATGTCGTCCGCGTCGGGCCCCGGCGCGGACCGGGCCGGCTCCGAGGGCCGCGCGGCCTTGGGGCTCGGCGGCCCCGCGCCGCCGGCGGCGACGACGTCGGCGTCGAGGGCCAGGGAAGGCGGCGGCGGCGGCGCCAGCGACGCGCGGAGGTTGAGGAACGAGTCCGTGAGCCGCGAGAACGTCGTCGGCGACAGCGCGCCCGCGAGCGCGTCGGGGCTCGGCGCGTCGCGCGGCGAGCGGCCGTCCGCGTCGCAGGAGACGACGGACGCGTCGCCGCGGACCGACGGCGGCGCCGACGACCCGGACACGACCGGCGACGAGAACGCGGACGGGATTGGCGGCGACGGCGGCTCGCTCGTCGAGTAGAGCGACGACAGCGGCCGGCCCTCCGAGAAGGGCGCGAAGAAGCCGCCGGCCGACGGCGACGCCGCCCGGTCGGGCCGCGGGTCGATGGCCGCGAGGTCCTCGGCCGACGGCCCGCGGAACGCGAGGCGCCCCGGCGACGGCGGCGGCGGCGGCGCGCCGCCGTCGTCGGACGACGCGTCGTCGAACGGCGAGCGGCGCGTCTGGGACGCGGCGACGTGGAGCGACGAGCTCTGGGAGAGCGCGACGGACCGCTGCGACGGCGCGGGGCTCGACGGCGCCGACGAGCCCGCCGCGGCGCGCGGCGCCGACGACGACGGCGCGTCCGACGCGTCGTCGCGCAAATCGCGGAGCTGGGGCGA